AAGGGTAGAATAATCTTTTCAGTTTTCTTTTTTTTAGCCTATATATAGTTTCTTTGTATCTATGTTAAATTATCTTTTTATTATTCAATTGCATTATGCAGAATCAATGAAACCCTAGCCTCATTTTCTTTATTTCTTTGGATTGTTTAACAGTTCCAAACCACGTTGATTATTAATTATGACGTGAAAATTTATTAATCTTGAATTTCAACTTGGTTCTGCTTAAAAGGTCAAATTTGTTAGAGAGGACTAGCCCACTAAGCCAGGCTATTGTCTTCTTGATTAAGAGATGTTGGATATACCAATAACGAATCTGATTGATCTAATTTATTTCTTGGGTTTTGTTTTCTTAAGGTGCAATGCTGTTTTCACTATTCCAAGAAATTGGGTTCAATGAGAGAGTAATTGAAGCATTACTGGATACCCATGCTGCTCCCAGGTTCATGCCCTTTGCATCCATTCGTAAGAGAATTCAGTCCTTACAATCTGTTGGAGTCAGTGGTTTTTCTCTTTCTCGATTGTGAAGCGCCCTGATGTATTGACATCTCAAGAAATCGATGCATTGTTATATTTTTTGGTTAATGATGATGATTTAGGTTTAAATGGGAAAATTGAGCCTATGTAGCTCGAGCGGCTTCTTAGTGCAACTGACCCCAGATTTCTCGTGAGACTTGAGAGAAAAGTGAAGTTGCTAGTTCAATACGAGATTCCCCAACAAAAGCTTGTTTGTGTGCTTAACACTGTTAATTTAACTAAGGCCTTGTGACTTAAGTCATTTGAAGAAATGGAACGAATGCTTCATTTTTTAAACCGTTTTGGTGGTGTTAGTTTGATTCTTCGCCAGCCTGCAATTTTGAATTATGATTTGGAGGCACAATTGGCTCCAAGAATTGAGTTTTTCTTGGAGTTAAGTGGGGGAGATTAGAATGCCACTACAACCGTATTGCACAAACTTCAATTTGTATTAGCCTATAGTGTTGACCATTTAATATACCATGTCAAGTTCTTTAATTCTTATGCCGGTTTAAGCTATCAAGAGATCTTTAGGATAATACTTGTTTACCAAATTTGTTTAGTGCAAGCAGGAAGAGGAAATTGCATCCCAGAATCGATTTTCTTATGCAGTGTGGGTTGAATTCACAGGACATATGTAAGTTCTTGACCAAGGCACCATTGTTCTCAAGTCTTTCATTTGAGGAGAATCTAGCATGCAAGCTGGTTTTCTTAGTGAAGTATGGATATGAGAATAGGACAAGGGAATTGGCTATGGCAATGGGAGCTGTTACTCGTACCAGCTGTAAGAATTTCTAGGAGAATAATGGGGTATTCTTGAACTATGGATTGACTTGCGAAGATATCTTAGAGATGAGCAAGAAGCACCCTCAGGTTCTGCAGTACAACCATGTTTCTTTGGAGGAGAAGATGGATTACTTGATTGAGGAAATGGGTCGTGAAGTCAGAGAGTTGTTGTCTTTTCCTGCATTTCTTGGTTACAAGCTTGATGGTAGGATTAAACATAGGTATGAAGTAAAGAAGAAGATTTTAGGTGAAGGAATATCCCATTAACAAGCTACTGAGTGTGTCTACAGCAAGGTTCTCGATGAAAAGCAAGAAGCAGCATGCTGTGAACGTGATTGACAGCCATAGCGAAGAAGTTGAATGAAAAAGAGAGGAGAATGTGATTGACAGCCATAGCGAAGAAGTTGAATGAAAAAGAGAGGAGAATGTTATTATTTAGACAAGGCATACATCACTAAATTGGATGCACAAGTATTGTGGTTTTCTTTCCATGTCCGAAGTGGAGAATCTCGACAATGATGATTTATTTATTTGTGAACTGTAAAATTATTGCTGACAAACACTCCATGCCATTGCATGGGATTGAAGAATGAGGAGACAGAGATAGCGAGATTGTAATTTGTTGAGTTTAAAAGGCCAAACTTGAATGATTTTATTAACAAAAATATTTTCTTTACTAACGCACACCTTGCACTTTCTCTCTTGCATACTCACTCGTTTTGCACTCTTTCAAT